CAAAAAAAAAAGAAGAGGGGCGTTGAATTTAGGAGTTAACAACAACAATCTACAAATTTCACCACATCAATGATATTCATTTTTATTAACTTCTTCAATCAAGCACCACAAGTTGTTGAAGACAAATAATACACTACAAGTAGATGAACTTTAACTAAGCCCCTGAAAGGTAGAATTCATCGGAAAAAAATAGTTATTTCACAAAATTAACCAAACCCTTTAGTCGAATTTTTCACGATGACCAAACAACACAAATCACAACTCAATTAACATAGTAAAAGTCAGGACACTGTGACTGGATACCCTAAAAAATTAAGATTAAACAACAAAAGTCTATTATTTCACAAAAAATTAGTCGAAACCCATTTCTCAAATCTTTTCCAGTAACCCAACACTGGGTATCAAAGATTATCAGCACCTTCAAGTGAAACTAAAAAACATCAATAATCCCCCCCCCCTCCCCACAAATTCAAAACGATAATTACCAAATTAATCAAAACCCAGTGCTCAAAAACTTTCAGAGTAACTGAATACTACTAATCAAAGACCAATTCTACAAGTCAAACCCCAGAGACAAAACCCAAAAAAAAAAAAAAGATGCAGAATTTGTTTGAGGGACCAAATCACCTCGAATTTAGAGACAGGTGCGGTGATCTGGTTCCGCTGTGGGGTTTCCATTGTAACACCACCTCTCTCAGTCTCTCTTTCTCTTTCCGAATTCTCTCTCTCCTCTACCATCTTTCTCTCTCACTGTATAGTATAGGTCACTTTTGCATGGACCTCTTTTCTCTTTCTAACACAAACACAACCACTCTCTCTCTCTCTCTCTGTGAAGAAAGGACCAGATTCAAGAAGAAGCGGGAAGGCGGGACGAAGAGAGAGAATATGGATTTTTCTCGTGCTGACAGAAGTGAGTGACCCTACCGCCAACACACACACACACACACACTGCTATTGATGAAATAATAATGCAGAAAGAAACAAGTGAAAAAAATGTAACGTACACTTGGTGGAGGGAGATCTGTGAATTTAACAGGTGTGGTTTTACCAAACTATCCTTCCCCCTGGTCTATTTACTTTTCCACTTTTTTTATTTTTTAACAGTTGTGGTTTAAACAAACTATCCTTCCCTCTGGTCTATTTTCCTTTCCTCTTTTTATTTTTATTTTTATTTTTTATAATTTTTCATTTACCTTCGTTGACTTTGTCAACAGGAAAAGGGGATAAACAGTTCAGTTATAAATTGGTTCCAAATATCTCTCCACAGAGATTGATTTTAAATTTCAGTTAGAGTTCGAAAGACTTCGAGGTAATTTTATAAATTTATGTTTTGAAATTAATCGATGCACATAATATTCAAATGAATGTATAAGTTTTTATTTTTTCTTAGTAATTATGAATCTAAAAGTATATATAATTAAGATGATACTCAATAATAAAAATTAATAATAATAAATCATGGACACAAGCACCATTCCCATTTATAGCCAATATTTATTGGCCAAACTTCAATCACCGACCAAAGAAATCTTTTCTTTTATTTAGCACTAAAACCATTTCCCATTCAAGCTAATGACATAATGGCATTCACAAATTTAGTGCAATTAATTTCAAAAAAAAAACTTGCCTTAAACAAGATTTATAGAACATGGAAAGGGATAAGTTTGACAATATGGAGTGTTATTTCAAAGATTATGTAGTTTTTTTTTTTTGGCAAAAAACAAAAGGTGAGGCAAAGGAGAGTGTCACCTCGATATAGACCCTCACTGGTAGAATCATATAGTCTCTGATTGTGGTTGTTACTCCTCTCGAGAATAAATTTAGCTAGACTAGTATAGCGGTCAACCACCATGTCTCAATGTAAACTTCAAGATTCAAATCTCTAATCTGGGGATAAAAAGTTCAGCCAGTATTTTCCTAAACCACTCCACTTGACAGTTAAAGATTACGTAGTTATATAATGTCAACTTTTGCTTAGATTAAACTTAACCTATTATAGTCAAACATAATCAAATTTATATTGTGTTAGGTTTGTATCATGTATGGCATCCCTTTTGTCGACTTGTTTATTAGACGCATCTACCTGACCAACTAAGTTATGATGGGAAATCATATATTATGAGTCTTGTGACTTAGTGTAAGAAAAAATTGCTGATTTTTTTTTCTCTTTTTGAGTCTCTGAAAAATTCAACCCCCACATGATGGTGACATGATGTCACTATTGTCATGTTTTATTATCATCTAATAATAAATTCATAAGTAAATAGAATGAATTTTACTTCTTTGCATGAGATAGTTATTTTTTAACATGGAATAAAGTAATTACTAAATCATGAGGGATTTACTTGCTTACATTTAATTTATTACTCTCTTCGTTTCTAAATATCTGTCATTTTACACAATTTTTTTTGTTCCATAATATCTGTCATTTTATGAAACTAAAAAATAATAAATATTTTTTTTTCAAATTTACCCTTATCTCTATTTTCCAATAAGTGTTTAATAGATTAAGTGTAGATTAAGTGCCTTTTATATTCATTTTATTCCCAATACGTATTGAATAAAGATATTTTATTCTTGTGTAATTATTTTTTACTCATATTAGAACTATTTAATAACTTCTTTAACTCATGTGCAAAAACCTTAAACGACAGATATTTAGAAACAGAGAGAGTATTAAATAGTGGCACATCATGTGACAATAATGACGTTGACTATTTTCTCTTCTAAGAGAGGGAACGAGATTATTGGAACCCTTACAAAAAATCTCACATAATAGACCGCTGCTTTTTTTTTTTTGATCGATTAATTACACTAAAAATTATATGAGGAGGAACTTTACGTATGATTGTATAATCGGAGAGTAAAGAAGACATATGTTAAAATTAGGAGTTGGCCAAACAATCATCGTTCTTATTATTAGATTTTAAAATTTTAGATTCAAATCTCCTCATCTCCCCCTTATAATAATGCCGGATAAAAAAAAAATTAGAAGCTGCTAATTACTATGTTATTAATTGCATGGATAACGTGCCTACTGCGTTATAAATAGTAATACATGGGTTTTGGCGCGCAAGAGATTTTGAAGGAGGGTTGGTTATACGCTGCATTGGAAGTCCATCATATGTTCCAGTCAAGTATGCTCATCAAATGGATATAAATACCTCCAAGTTCCAAGAGAAACACAATGTATATCACGTGTCTATCATAATGCGCTGATCATGTTTTAAGTAATATTCCCTCCGTTTCTAAATATCTGTTGTTTAAAATTTTTATACAGTGATTAAGAAAACTATTAAATAATTCTAATATGAGTAAAAAATAATTACAAAAGACTAAAATACTCTTATTCAATACGTATTGGGAAGGAAATGAATATGAAAGACACTTAACCTCCACCTAATCTAATGCTTTGAAAGTTAAGGGTAAATTTGAAAGAAAAAATATTAATTATGTTTTGGTTTCATTAAACGACAAATATTATGGAACAAATAAAGTTGTGTAAAACGATAGATATTTAGGAACGAATGGAGTAATAAAATAATCCGTGTATCTGGTGTAGGTTTGAATTCTCATCGAAACGCAAGTTCTGATGTAACTGACTTGTGAATTGAAAAATCAATTAATGCACTCAAAATTTGCTCTCAATTTTATTCAGACTCACAAGTGTAAGAGACATAAGTGTGTCTCTATTCACCGAGAATAGACCAGAGATTTTCTCCTTTACGAAAAGTTAAAATGATATATAAATTTTTTTAAAAAATTATACAAAATTTTCTTTTGATTATTCTACGACCATTAGATTCTTGAAACCCTTCGAGGACTAGGAGTCATTAAAACAATGAGCAATGTTATGTTGAATAAATTGTTGTCCAAATTTTATATTTCAAATCAATGCAGGTGATTAGATTAATGGGGTTTACTAACTCTATCAAATATTAAATATATGAGATTTTGACACATCATTTGAGATATAAATTATAAATCAAACAAAAACTAATAAAACTTATTTATTGTGATTATGAATAACCAAAAGTATTTGAGAAATAACAAGGAATCTCAATAAAATCCTTTTTTTTTTTTGTTTTGTTACTGTGATCTATCAAATGAGACAATTTCACCTATAGAGAGCTCTATCGTTTATCATACACCTCATGTCCACGCCATTTACTTTCTATTTACACGATGAATACTCCTTTTTTTTTTTTTTTTCACATTGAGGCAAACAACAGAATTCAAACTTATAGATTTAAAATATAACAACGGAGCAATGATCATTAGACCAATTGTTTTTTTTTTCTTTCTTTTTTTGGGTCAAGAGTATTCGGGATAATTTATGTGTATTTCGACAAATATCATCCATAGTTTGGTCAAAATCAAGTCATCTACGCATAGATTAAGAAATTCAAAAGAGATATAAATCTCTCATATCTTGATCATAAAAAAATTGACAAATTTTAAATTTAAAAATTATGAATTTACGACTCATCCCGACCTCCGCTGAACAACCCTTTGAGTTATTAGGCCAACCAACCGCTTACGACTTAAATATTCCATAATACTGAAGGAAACAACAGCCACAGATCATAGTATCGTTTGTTGGGGCCATTAACATCAAAGTTTATAATCTATATTTATAGTATGGTCCACCCCAGCAACCAACATCAACCAATGCGATATAACGACACGCGTAGGGTCCCACACAGCTCCCACATTATTATAACCACCGTTCCAATGAATAATTAACTTAAATAATTAAGCAAATATGAAAAAGAACAATAAATTATAATAATATTATTTAACCTTAATTTACTGACATAATTTATTAATCTAATTCATCACAACTGTTAGATTGATAACGACCCCAACAAAATACTTGAATTCACTGTCAATCCAATAATTATCATTATTAGATCTAAATAGCATTACTCATATATTTATAAAAAGTAAGAAAATAGGAAAAATATCAAATTAGTCCTATTTTATACCCTTAATATCGATTAAGTTCTATACATTTTTCATAGTCCCAATAAGTCATACTTTTTCAAAAATAATTCCAAATAAGTTCTCAATCTCTCTTATTTTCTATTTTACCCCTTATAACTAGAAAATAATTTTGTTTTTAACCCTAAAACATACCATAACTTACTAAAAAAACAATCTATAATAAAACAGAATAGACTTCAATAAGTCCATCAAACGGTCTCAAATAAACTCATACAACAACTACCAACATCTCTCTCAAAATTATTTACATTACACTGTATTTTCAGCCACGAGTTACCCTAGTAAGTGAATATATAATAACCATACAATCAACTACAACATTAAAGGGTCATTTTTCAGTACCATATATATTTTTTTATTCTAATGAAAAAATAATAACTGTAAATTATTTTAATTTCACTTACGTTAGTATTACTACATTCAATGACCACAAACAAATCAAACTAGTATTTATGTTGAATATCCTTTTTGGCATGACACTAAGAAAATATTCTCTAACAAACTTTCTAATTTTACCTTGGAACTTCTCTCTTTGTCAACATCTAACAATAGGGGGTCCTCTTTGTGGTCTTTTATTGGGACCACAAGTTGTCTTTATATAAAGGCCGTCTATCACGTGATACCAAGGAAGTTAGCACTCTACTGCATAATTACAACAGGGAAAGTACACT